ACACACACACACACACACACACACACACACACACACACATACACACACACACACACACCACTACAAGTCTGGACAGCCTGCCTCTGCACACAAATGCACAGCTGACGAATCACTCCGCCGACACACTGGCAAGTAGACCCTAATCTATGAGAATTTAATTAAATAAATATTTTAATAAAATACATTAACGCCGTATCGCTACTGAGTGCTAAACGTGTAATAGCAATAATAGCGTTAGCATGATTAAAACGAGATTTATCTTTATCCATCAAAGCTTATTTAGTAGCACGTTTTAAGAATATATACCCTCATATATCAGCATACACGGTTTTATTTATAGAGCATGAAATTAAAAGTAGTTTAACTCAATAGTTTGGCGGGACTACTTTTAGTCAATCCAAACGGTTGGTTTGGGAGAAGGCGGAGCGGATGTCCACACTTCTTTCAGGGGGTGTTATCCGCCTCTCTCTCTCTCTCCTTCACACACTCACTCACTCACGGCTGCTTGCATCTATCCATGCAGTTCATCAATTAAGCAAAAAAAAAAAAAAACCACTGTAGAGGCGATAATTTATTAATTTATTTTTTCTTAGTTCTTTCGGGACGATTTTTTAATTCCGCCGGACAGAGGCCCCGGAGAAGTTTTAAGTGCGGAGGAGGAGGGGGAAACAAGGGCGGAGGGGAAACCAAACCGCAGGTACGGAGTGAGACTGTTGTAGCGACTTGAACTACAAGGCGAGCTAACCGGCTAACGTTAGCATCCCAAAGTGAAGGAGGGAGAGGAGGAGGAGGAGGAGGAGGGGGGAGAGACTTGAAATGCACTTTGTCAAGAAGAGAGGGGAGGCAGGGGGGTGTATAACGGCAATTTTTATTTATTGTTCAAACTAATTACTTCAGCTGCTTAAATAGAGGCTAAAAAGTCCATAAACAGGATGAAGAACTTTAGCTTGAAATGAGCTAAATGCTAGTTTTTTTTGTGTTGTTGCCCCGGCAGCAGCTTCATCCGTTTGAGGGGGGGAAACAAAAGACGTCAAAGTCTGACACACTGATGACTTCTTGGCAAGAATTGTTTCGTTTAGCTAAACTATTGGTGTCGTTTAGTGAAATAATTTTAATAAACAAGATATTTTGCAGATGTGAACATGTGTTTAATTTCAATATATGATTTCAGCTCTATCAGTGTGGTGAGTCAAAGGTTATAAACAAGAAAGAAGTTAATTGGAATGCAAAAATATATGATAAAATATATTTATTGTGGGTGTGAGGCTCATTTTAAAGCAGAAACTATGAAATAAAGTTATAAAAGCTGCTCATATGAGGGTCAGAAGTTGGGAAATGAAGGAACAAGCTTGAGTTTTTATGGATATCAGAGGATTCCTGGTTATTTAATTGAGTTCTCAAAAATGTGATTTAATTTTTAGGTCTTGTTGCTGATTTTGGACCAGGGAAACCATCCCAGCAGGCTCATCCTGACCCTGTTCCTATCAGTGATTTTTGTCCTGGTGAAGTTAAACGGGGCAGCTGCTGTTTTCTGTGGGAGGGGTGGGGGGAGAGCTGTGACAGACAAAAGACCTCCAGAGAGAGCTTCAGACTCCAGTATTGTCTGTGTGTTTAGTTGATGGTTGATGTTAATCTCTCGGATCGGGAAGATTGCGGCTCTTCCGCCCGCAGAGGTCCAAACCAGTCAGGTTGAATGTGTAGGATGAGGGATTATGGGTCAGTGCTGGGAGTTGTTGTTTTGGACCGAGGCGAAACTGAGGATGAAGGGCAAGGAAGTGCGAAAGCCTCGTCTGCTCATCATGGCTGTTTTATAATCTGAGATTTGGGTTTTTCCAAACACTATTTGGATAACCATGTGGTAAAAGAGATTAGATGTTTCTCACGGTTGTTTCCCCCATCTTGATCCCAGATGCTTCAGTTTTTCGTCACGTTTATGTGAGTTTTTCAGAACTAAAATAATTCAGAAAATTTCTGTTTTTTGCCTCAGATCTTACCAGCTTTGCAAAAATACCTACATTTTGTTGTATTAACTGTATAAAATGTGCAATTAGAACCGAGAAAAGTAGAATTTTAAAGTCAAAATAGTTGTCAGTGCTTTTGTTTTTTTTATTTTATGTTTCTAAAAGTTTCTACATCAATAAATAATTGTTTTGGGAGTTAATGTGGCTCAAACTCATCAAAAAGAAAAAAAAATTGTAAAGGTCTTCTGGATGGGTTCTTCTCTAATGAAACGTTTCGTCTCTCCTCCAAGAGACTTCTTCAGTCTGAGAGTTTCAGGCAAAATTCAGGCTTTTAAGCCCTGCTTCCATGTGACTGATACTCACATCACATGGCTATCGTTGACACCTTATTAACACCTATTGTTAACAGGGGGTGGAGTGATACTGGCAATGGCCACGCTGTAGGAGGGGGACAACTGAAAACGGAGGCCTCCACCTCTGTTTAATGATGGACGGTCTTTCTTCACAAAAATGGCTTCTTTTACTCCTCTCTCAAACCAACGTTCCTCTCTATCAAGAATGAGAACATCCTCATCTCTGAAAGAGTGACCGCTGGCCTGTAAATGAGTGAAAACTGCAGAGTTCTGGCCATTAGATGTAGCTCGTCTGTGTTGGGACATTCTTTTGAACAGTGGCTGCTTTGTTTCCCCGATGTATAACTGGTTGCAGTTATACATTTTTTTCTTTTTGATTTTTTACCTGAATTACTGAGATGCATCAGGACAACTCAAACTCATCAGTTTTAGAAAACTTCTAATTCTCTTCACATTTATTCACAACTAAATTATACAAAAAAAAAACAGACAATATTTATGTTTATTTTGTTTGATTCCTGTCTTAAGGCCCTGTCATATTATAATGTTTTAGACCAATCGTTCCCAAAGTTGGGGTCGGGACCCACAACGGGGTCCCAAAACATCAAGATGGGGTCCTGAAAAGGTTTTCTGAATTATCTATATTAGGAAAATAACAACTAATATTTTTTTCGCTTTTTTTGTTGCAAAAGAGTAAGGTTAGTGCACTTAAAATGGACAAAAATAGCAATGAATATTGTTACCATGCTCTAATTTTTTTGACATGAAAACAATGGGCCTCATGCAAAAACCGTTCGTACGCACAGATCTGTTCTTAAGTTGTGCGTACGAGTGATTTAGGAGAATTTGTGGCATTCACCAATGTTTTCGTATTCTAAGATTTTTTTCAGATACGAACAAAATTCACGAGTGGTCCAGACCTGTCGTATATTGTACGTACAGTCAGTCTGCTGTTATCCAGGCGGGTTTTCCTCCCTAATAAATTTATATTTCGTTAGTTTGAAGATATTTTGAGTTGAAAATAAATTAAACTCCAAAATTATGTTGACAGTAGGCTATTCTGCTTGAATTAGAGTTATAATTTTAAATGTAATAATTTAGACAAACAATATAAATTGTCCGTTCGTCCGTTTTCTGTTGCTTATCCGGGATCAGGTGCGGGGCCAGCAGAAAGACCCCGCTCTCCCCAGCGACACTTTCCAGCTTGTCCTGGGGGACTCTGAGACATTCCCAGGCCAGAGGGGATCCACCATCCCTCCAGCGAGTCCTGGGTTTTCTCCAAAGTGCCAGACWTATTTTGAAAACATTTTAAAATGCTAATTTTAAACCCGCATCTGAGACCACCTACGACCGTGAGGGGGGGTGTACAGTGAGCAGCACCGTGGCTTCTGAATAAATGAAAATGATTTAACACAGTTGTTTATACTATTAGCAGCTCCTTTTATTCCACAGCTGACCTGCTAAAAATGACAGATTTTCTTTTCTGGATCTCTGACAGACGGACTTCAATCTCTGAACTCGTAAAGTTTTTCTTTTTAATTTTCGCTGTCATTTTTCGTGAATGGACACTTCCTTGTATCTGAGGCAGGAAACATAGCCTTATATGGTGTTTTTGGGGTGGTAATTATGCTAATCTCCTCTCGCGTGCACGAGCAGCTGGATACGAACAGGTGGAATTTACGCAGCTCATTTACACACTTTTCCTGAAGATAGAAGAGTTTGTTGAATCTGACGTGACATGTTCGTACGAACCCTTTGTACGAACAAAAGTAAGAGAAATTTAGGATAAGAATACGAACATGTTCTTGCATGAGGCCTTATGATCCAACAACAGTTGGGGGCTCAGGTCTCTGCTGCTGACATTTTACGGATCAAAGGCTGAAAAGTTTGGAAACCACAGTTTTAGACAACTTATGCCAGCTTGTGAAAATTTTAAAGACATCTATGTTGAAGATGGAATTTAAAAAAATCCACTGGAAGCCTCTTTTAGGCGTGCACATTCTGTAATGCTAACACATTGATCAGATACATTTTATTAGTAATTTAGACATTAAAAATTGGCACAAGTTGTCTAAAACATCATAGTGTGACAGGGCCTTTAGAGCTGTAACGTGATTATTTTTGGCAGGGGTCAGATTTCGACGAGTCAGCTGTTCAGTCCGTCTTTGCTTCCTCCTGTTCCAGAGGCACAAGTAGTTTTTGTAATTTAAAACAGGAAAAAGTGCAAACAAGTAACCAAGAGTGAGCATGTGTTTATGTTCAGGTGAATGGAAAATGTTGGGCAAAAAATGATGAGTTTCATAAATATTTGTGCTTTAGAGCAGACGTCTTCAACACTTAGATGTCTCCCTGCTTCAACACAGCTGACGGAAATGAACGAGTGATTGACAGGCTCCTGCTAAACCTAATGACATTGTGAGTAGATAATTAAACTATTTGAATCAGGTGTGTTGAAGCGTGGAAACAACTAAAACATGAGGAGGGGTTTATAAATGTAAAACTGGTCTAGTGATGCTTTTGCTTCTCTTCCCATGAGTAAGTAGGCCTTTTAGCTTCACAGCTGCCTGTCACTCAATAAGTAATACTCATAAAGTAAAATGAAACTAAGAAATAATGAATATAAATTTTTTATTTACATTTTGTTTATGTAATAATTAGGGAGAATAGTGAAGGTCATGCTGACAAACAATAAATGACATTGAGCTCCTTCATTTCTCAACAGAAACTGATCTTAGCATGAAAGGTGGCAGGCATTAAACAAAAGGCTGGTTTTATACACAAATATGGAGGAGTGATGTCTTCTCTGTTTGTTCGCAGTCATGCCCTCAGTGATGGAGCGCTCGGGGGCCGGGGTCCTGTCCCGGAGCCGAGCCAAAACCGTCACCAACGGCAGCAGCCAACCACACTCCGAGGAGGAGAGCAGCGACGAGGAGCACGCTCACGGTAAACACCGCACACCTGTTCCGCGCCAGCGGGCCGCTTTAAAACGCCGACTCATGTTCCGGCGTTAAACACACACTCAGACGTTGTGTTGCTGCATCATGCCAGCTGTTCTGGTTGCATTTGTTGCATTGCTGCAGTGCTTCACATTTCCCCCTCCACTACCTCCCCCACCCTGCGCCAGCCTCCTCCAGCCTCTACTGTCTCCACTCGGCCTCTGTTGGTCTTTGAGGGTTTTTAGATCACACACAGATGTTTAATTTTAAATCAATACGCTCTTATGTTTTCGCAGCCTTGGTTTCCTCTCTGTGTTCTCCTCCTTCGGCTCCTTCTTTCCCATCCTCTGTCCCTCAGCCTGAGGAAGCTCGGATATGTCTTCCTCCTTCTCGTCTCTTTTTCACTCATTGCTTTCCCCTCGTTCCTCTGCAGCTTTTTTTGTACGTTTATCTTGAACAGTAAATACACTGAAGCTCTAAAACCGACCCAGATCTTTATGTCAGGCGGAGGGGCTAAATATTTTTTAATTGCCTCCTGCCGTTTGTGCTTGCGTGCTGTTTGTTAGTGATGTATCTCACAAACGCTGCGAGAACAGCTGTCAGAACACCTACAGAGAGCCGCCTGCGTCTCCTCGCTGTCTCTGCTGTGAACGAGAACAGCCGCATAGACACGCCCACAAAGTTCTGACCAATCACATGACACTTGGCGCACACCCTGCGAGACGATAGAAAAAGACTCCTATTTTATCACAGCAAGACACAATTTCAGTGCTTCTCGTGAATTATAAATCGGATTTTAATCCGTAGGATTATAAACTGTGAGTTTTAACATGTGTGAACAAATACTGCAGAGAATAAAATGGAAATTATTGCAAAGTTTATGTATAAAATCAGGCTCAGAGGTGATTTAATTCAATTCAATTCAGTTTATTTATGTAGCGCCAAGTCACAACATGCATTGTCTCAGGGCACTATAAAAAAGAACAATCTAAAGAAGAAACCAGCAGATTGTGTTGAATCACTTCATCACAGTCTCTCATCCTGAGCAAACAGTGGAGAGGAAAAACTCCCTGCTAATCAGGAAGAAACCTCCAGCAGAACCAGGCTCAGGACAGGAGACCATCTGCCTCGACTGGCTGGTTGGGGGACAGTAAAGAGACACAAACACAGAAAAACTGGTTCAGGTGCACCTTCTTCTGGAAGAGACAAAGAAAAAACATGTTATTGATAGAAATAATTACAATAAACATGTAGAGAACAGAGAGTAAAGACAACAGCAGAGTGAGGAAATGTGCTCAGTTTGTGCTCCAGCAGTCTAAGGCTATGTTCACACTGCAGGCAAATCCGACCCAAATCCGATTTTTTTGATCCATCTGACTCATATCCAATTTTTTTATGACAGTCTGAACAAGACAAATCCGATTTTTTCAAATCCGACCCAGGCCGTTTCAGTATGTGGTTTTAAATCGGATATATATCTGATGTTTTCAAAGTGACTGCAGTGTGAACGCTCATGTCACATTCCATCTGACTTTTTCATCAGGAGGAGGAGGTGAAGGATCGATAAGACACTAACCTCAAGTCTCGCTGTTTAAATCTGCAGCTCCATGTGTTTACAGCTCCAAAACACAAGTCCAGTTGCTTCATCTTTTTACTTTTCATTAGTATGATAATAACGATGTCCAGCCTGGGTTGCGGAGAGTATCGATCCTAAAGTTCGATACTTGGCCGATACTTTTTTCCAGCTCGTAGTTTCGTTCAAAAAAAAAAAGCTTCACTGGAGCATCCCGGTCAGAGGCAGGTTCAGATATAAACACTGAACTAAAGAAGCATGTCAGATAATTATTTAATCGGCTCTGATTAAACAACAACTTCCAATTCGATACGCAAAATGTAGCATCCATGCTAGCTCTGTAAACAAACAAGCAGGCTGATGAGACGTCACGTCTTTCACTGCGCATGCGTGTCACATCAGTGCTGTGGAGCGTTCACACAGGGGTCTGATACAGGTCACATTTAAAATGTAATGTGAACCTTCACACAAAAAGATCGGATTTTTTCACAAAATCGGAACTGAGCATTAAGACCTGCAGTGTGAACGTAGCCTTAGTCTCCACCTACAACAATGGTCTCACCAACATCCTCGACTCTCTTGCTCCTCTTAAAACCCGTTCTGTCTCCTTCTCCACTTCTGCTCCATGGTTCACCTCAGAACTTTGCTTCATGAAAACACAAGGTCGCAGACTAGAGCGACTACAAGAAATCAGGTCTTACAGTTCACAAAGAGATGTACATAAACCATACCCTACAGTACAAAGAAAGTGTCGCTCAGGCCAAATCTATCTACTTCACTGACATCATCAGTTCCAATGCAGGCAACACACAGACTCTTTTCTCTCTCCTTAACTGCACAGTTTCATCTCCAAACTCTCTACCCCCTCACATGTTTTCTACTGACTGCTGTAACTCCCTCATTTCATTCTTCACTTAAAAAATCCGCTCCATTCACCAACACTTTGGGCCAAACTCTGCCCCCAACATCTTTACTGCCTCAGTTTGGGGACAGTCAAGACTTTATTTCTTTACTCCAATCAATCATAACGTTCAGATTTTTTCTTTCCGTACAGACAGCATGATCAGAGTCGGAGGAGACTACCAGGCCCAGATCCCGGAGTTCAAACCAGGTGAGCCCCGCCAGGAAACCTCAAGAGGAAGAGATGACCGTGAAATGAAGGAAGAAGGAAATTACTGATTTTTTTAATAAAATGAGGAAAATTTACTTAAACTACTGAAGTATTTATCCTCCATACAGTTAGTGTAAGATTTCCATAAATACTGTATAAAAGAACAACATGTGTAATTTTAAGAATGATTTACAGCCACCTCTAAGTTTACATGTAATGAAAGATTTCTGTTGTGTTTTCATCATCAGACAGTGCAGCTCGCCACAATGAGAAAGACCAGAGGAGCATGTTGGTCTGGTGTCCCAACACTCAGCTCTCTGATGCAATGTGTAAGCTGGAAACAAAGGAAACCCTTAAAGGGACAAATAATCTTCATCTTTTGATTGTCACCTTTTATTGTTTAATTCCAGTGGATGAATACATCCTGATGGCTAAAGAGAAACATGGATACAACATGGAGCAGGTACGAGAAGCTCGTGAGATTTAAAAAAACAAAAACACAGGCTAAAACGTAGCGTTTAACCCGTCTCCACCTACTGTTTCCCGATTCTCCGTCCCTCCAGGCTCTGGGCATGTTGCTGTGGCACAAACACGACGTGGAGCGCTCGCTGGCCGACCTGGCCAACTTCACGCCCTTCCCAGACGAGTGGACGGTCGAGGACAAAGTTCTGTTCGAGCAGGCCTTCAGCTTCCACGGGAAGAGCTTCCACCGCATCCAGCAGATGGTCCGAGACGGCTGAGAAATTTTATATCTTCAAAAAAAAAAAAAACTACAAGTCTGATCAGGGTTATTTGTTCTGTAGCTTCCAGACAAACTGATCTCCAGCCTGGTGAAGTACTACTACAGCTGGAAGAAGACCAGGACCAGGACCTCCGTCATGGACCGACAGGCCCGGAGGCTCATCAACAAGAGAGAAAAAGACGACAGGTTCGACACACACACAGAAAAATTCAATTCAAACCTCAGAGGAAGCTGTTTATAAAAGGATGAATGAGCAGATGGACAAGAAGGAAGAACAAACACTGATGAAGCTCCTCATCCAGGTTTGACATTTCCACATCTTCTCTCGTTGAGTCGTCTCGGGAAGCGGAGCTCATGAATATAAACGAGGAAGAGTCGGATTATTACTTGTCATTTGAGTCGATGTATTCGAGACGTCATTTAAAATTAGAAGGACGGAGCCTCAGCACAATCAAGTCTTGATTTTTTTTTTTTTTTTTTTTTTTTTTTTGTGCAGTAATGATGACGTTGAGGAAGGAGAGCCGGGCAGCGACAGCGACTTTGAAATGGATGCCAAGAAAGAGGTAATAAAAATACTCAATTCAACATAAAAACAACAATTTTAACATTAGAGAAGTGGTATTTAGTATGAAAGTACAGTGTGAATGCTTATTGCCGAATAACTTAGCTGAAATATTTTTAATGATAAATCATCAGTGCTTTCTGAACAGTTGAGGTGGAACCCAAAATTATCTGAATATTTGCCGAAGAACCCAAACTGACACCAAAAGCTTTAAAGTACCTGCGACATCAAGTTTTTGTAATAAACATGAATGCATTTTTTGGAAAGATAACATTAATAACATGTTGCAAAACAAATTTCATACTGCTGAGATGAACGGTTGTTGAGGTATTTACATGTGAAGAAACAGGAAGTGATGTCAAAGGGGAATGTTAATATGTTAACAGAGCGTTGTTACAAAAGGTTTACATTATTTTTGGTCGCCATCAAAGAGAGACAAAGAAGAGTTAAAGTTAATAATAGTATTGTTTTAATAAACAGAGACCAGCAAGTTAATTTTATTAATGAGTTTCTTTGATGTCACTTCCTGTTTCACTTTGGCTGAGCCAAATTTAAAAGAAAATATCCGGTTATTTGACAAAATGGGTCAAATCGTGTACTATGCCAATTTTCCTAAGAATAAATATGCTTTCTTTGAGTTTTTGTATTTGAAGAATAGGCATGTCACAGGCACTTTAAGAGGCAGATAAAAAGTAAAAGGAGTAAATATATAGCTGAAAGCGACAGAAAGAAAGTAAAAGGAACAAAATAAAAAGATTTGTTAACCTTTTGAAGGGTTTTAAGGATTTTGAAGACTGCTCCGTTTATTTTTAATAAGAAAAAAGTGGCTGAAAAAGCTAAATAGCTGAAAGAGTATAAGTTTCTGAAAAGCTAAAAATCATAGCCAGAATGTCCTGAAGGAGCTGAACGTTTTCATATATATAAACTGTTGAAATAAACACAAACATTGTAGAAGGAAATGTGTGCCAAAAAAAAACCCCTACAGAACAGTGAAAATAAAAAGAAAAATAAAGAGAAATATGAAAATAATACAACTATTTCCTGTTTTCTTCCACACTGTATTTCTCAGCTACTCAGTGTTGATTTATTATTTAAAATCTTAGTTAAAGGTGCAGTATGTAACTTTTCTAAAAATATATTTTTAACATATTTGTTCACTCTGTCACCATCTCCTGACAGATTGAGATTAGACAGGTAA